GTAAACTCCTTAATCGTAGAGTCGCGGCGCCAGGGGGAAACGTAACGCTCTTGTAAAGAAGCGGAGAGAAATCACTCTAAACGGGGGGGAGGGAAAGGGGGGGGGGCACGAGGGGGGGGGGGAGGCCCAAGAGGAGTCGTACGACGCGGAACGAGAGGCAAGCGCGCGTGTGAGTTAGGTCGACGAGGAGAGCGCGGGGAATTGAGGCGTGCAGGCACGCGCCAATCAACTTGTGGCAAACGATGGGGTCCGTCCCGGTGTTGATCAAGGTCAGCAAAGGTGGCCAGGAGCGGTTGGGGAGCGCAGAGAATGATAAAACTGTGAACGGGGATGAGAGGGATCGGGACAATGGCTGTGACATCTTTTGGATGTATAGGGGGTGGACGCATAGAGGGCGGGGGGGGGGGGGGGGGGGGGACTCGGATTGTGAGCAGGTTGCACGGACAGACGTCGCCAGAAAAGGCGATCGCATTGATGTGAGCATTGCACTCTACACCCCCCCCACCACAGCGACGACGACGAGTCAAGCTCATGCCTTGCCTGCGTATTATTACATAATATCTCCCATCTCGTTCTTCGATTGCGGTCCGATCTGTATCTAAATGGACAAGTGGCGCCCTGAAAGGTGGCCGAGGAGGTGCATGGGAGGTGAGAGTGGTCGATCCATGGGACGATCGATTGGACGACGGCCGGCCAAAAATGGCGCCATTTGGGTTTCGCGCGCAAAGTTGGCGGGGAGGGCGACGGGCAGAGGCAGGCAGGAGGGAGGAAAGGGAGGGGAGGGAAGAAGGGCGGAGTGTGGGAGTGGGACGAGACACCCGACTTTGTACATTGCGGACAGAGTGTGAGGGGATGAGCGAGAGCGAGTACGAAAGGGTGTCACTCCCGCCTGGGGTCAAGGGCGAGGTCCGTGGAGAGCTCTGGCTGCATGTGGCCGAGGTGCGAGTGGCAAGTCCTCCGGCCGGAGTGCAGAGTCTGGCGCCCAAGCATGTTGTGGTCAAGTGGTGGGGCGAGCGTGGGGACGGGGCCAAGCGTGTACCTCCTATGTATGCGCAAGGAAGTAAGGCGCCGATGGTGGGCGAGGTAGAGAGCGAGGCTTCCCGTCCGCTGGTCTACGCCCTCCGCTCCTCGCCCAAGCGGCTCGCCGCCTATTTGCGCGACATGGGCCCGCTGGTCATCGCCCTCTACGGCCCGCATCATGTGGTGGTGGCCTCGGCGCAGAAGCGTCTCGACTCGGTCCGCCCACGGAGGCACTATGTGTGGAACCTGCCGCTGCTCTCGCCGCAGGGGACAAAGCTTGGAGTCATGCGGCTGGCGCTCCGCCTGCAGCCGCCCGGCGCGTCGCGGGCGCCAGACCTACCGCAGGGCTTTGCCCGAGGGAACTCGGCGTCGCCTCCCAAGGCTGACCTCGCTGCCCACCCATCGCCGGCAAAGTCGCCGCAGGCGTTTATCGATCCAGCGCTGGTGGTCGAGTCGCCGGAGCACCCAGGCCAGCTCTTTCGCCGCGATCTGGAGCTCGAGGCGCTCGATGATGAGATCGAGGCTCTAGAAGCTGCCAACAACTCGGCGACCGAGTCGGAGGCGGAAAGCTCTGACAACGAGGGCTTGGACGATGATGCTAACGGTGGCGGCTCGTCACCGGCCCACCGCGGCATTCCGGGTGCGGTGGATGCCGTCATGATTCCGATCCAGCTGGTGCCCAACGAGTCGCCGCCACTGCCGCAAGCGCAGGTGAGCCGTGGCGCACGAGCGAAAACTGGCGCTTGTCAGGCGTCAGCGCCGGTGGCGGCGAACGTGGACGATGCAGCGAGCAGACATAAGGCCGAGCAGGCCAAGGTTCTTCTCGACGATCTGTGGCAGCGCGGACACCAGCTGAAAGCGCGGCTGGCGTCGGCGATGGCGCGGCCGACAGCTGCTGCGCTTGACAATGAGCTTGTAGCGGCTATCGGCACAGCCGCTGGTGAACCGGAGTCGAACAACGAAGGGACGGGATGGCCGTCGCAGGCTTCGGAAGCTGTCGATGCGTTCCCGCTCGTCGACGCGGTGGCACAGCTCAACACGTCCGGCATTTCCGAGACTGAATCGAACCTGGCGGAGGAAGACGCTTTGCTTGAAGAGCTGTTTTTCGCCAAGGACGATGACGGCGAGGATGACGGCGAGGAGAGCAGCAACAACGGCGACGCCGATAGCACGGCACTAGCAGCACAGCCGATGCCGCCACCGGCGCCACTGCTGTACACGCTTGTGCGGCTGGGACGCGTGACCAACCTCGACCTGGCAAGTGGCGGATGGGGCGAGGATGCGCCGCCGTCGCTCTACCTGGCGTGCAAGCTGTTCCGGCGCGATGACTCTGTGGCGACGCGTGTGGCATATGGAGAGCGTGCGCCGAACTTTGACTTTGAGCACACCGTGCCGGTGGCGGTCACGCCGATGTTCCTGACGTATCTGAAGAACTCGAGTTTGATTGTGGAGGTCTGGCACCGGCCTGTACGCGAGAGTGGGCACGATGGCGGGGAGATGGTTCGGCCCAAGGACGATGATGTGCTTGTGGGCCTTGTCAAGCTTCCGTTCCACCAGTTTTTTGTCTCCTTCCGCGACGAGCTCTCACGTGGGGCATTTCTCGGCGAACGGCTGCCTGTATGCGCCGCGAACGAGGCGTATCCGATTGTGGATATGCGAACCGGGGCGACGCGCGGCTCGCTCGAGTGCGTGCTGGCGATGGGAATGCTGCCGCAGATCCGGACCCTTCAGGCACGGATCCGGACGGTTTCGGGCGCGCCGTCGAGCCTTGTGCCGCTTGCGGCGCTGGAAACGTCGCTGAACTCGGGTGACATCGAGTGGGCGACGCCGGCCAAGGCGCAGATGGTGAGTGGCCCGAGTCGGCGCAGCGACGAGACTGCTGCCATCATTGGGTCGTCGGGGTCGGGCGTCGACGGCTCAGTGGACCACCACGTGTTTGAGGTGGCGATTGAGTCCGCGGCGTCGCTGCGATGGCTCAACCTCGCAGCGCCGGGCTCGGGCGAGACCGGCGATCCGCAGTTTTACGTGCAGTACGAGTTCCCGGGGACCGAGGGCAAGGTGGCGACATCGGCGATGATATGTGCGCCGAGTGTCAAGATCGGCCACAAGGCGACGTGCTCGGTGCTCAAGCCGGCGTCCGCGCCGTGGAGCGTGTTTCTTCCGCGCAACGGTGTAGACGCGATCACGTTTACGCTCAAGCAGCCGACGCTGCGTGGGCAGGATGCAGTTCTAGGGCGTGCTATTCTCCCTGCGGAGGACTTTCTGGGCCTTGTGGATGAGGTTGGGGTAGACGAACCTGTGCGCGGAGCGTTTACGCTTGCGATTGTGCCGTCAGGTGACCGGCCTGGCTTTATGGGATACCTCAAGATTGTACTGCACGCGGCACCGCGAGTGTCGCGAGCGCTTCTTCCCGCGGCGGGTGACAAGTTGCGGACCGAGATAGAGTTGCACGTGTCGGACGTGGTTGGCCCGGGTGCTGTGACGCCCGGCGAGTTGGAGGCGCGGCTGGAGCTTGCAGGCGGAAGCGGGCCGAACTCGAGTGTGCGGTGGGGTCACGACGAAGCGGTCGAGGGTCGGACGGCCACGCTGGTGGGTGCCGACACGCTGGAGGCGCTGACGACAAACGGTGCGGTGCTGATTGAGGACTCTGTGCTGGGGAATGTGCGGCTTCCACTCCGTGCGTTCCTTGTGGGATGGACGGAGGAGAGCCACGCACCTGGCAGCGTGTCTGGGTGGCTTCCGCTCCAGCGTGCTGGGCGGGCGGGTGGCATGGTGCATGCAACGCTGAGAATGCGGCTTGCGGCGCCTGTGCGGTCTGACCCGCTGCTGCGGGCGGGCGGACGGCTGCCTGCCGAGGTGGGAGCCAAGCTGACGCTGCTTGTGGACGAACTGGAGTTGTTTGAGGAGAGTGCAAGTGGCGGGTACTTTGTGACGTACCAGCCGCACGGGACGCTTCCTCAGACGCAGTCCAAGACGTACTCTGCCGAGCCGGGTGCCGCTGTGGTGCCGATGCGGCACCGGTCTGTCTTCCACGACCTCGGACCTGCACTGCTGGAGCGAATGCTTGCGGCACCGATGGCCGTGGAAGTATGGCGGAGCGGGGGCGACGACGGGGCAGAGCATGTCGGTACGGCGTGGCTCTGGCTGTGGGAGCTGATGGACCGGTTTGTGGGTGCGCCGCGGGTGACGGACGAGCCGGCATGGGTCAACGCAAGCTTTTTGTGTCCGGCGTGGCAACGCGCAAGGTGATGGGCGCGGTCAAGGTCCGGGCGCTACTGCATGCAGTGGAGGCTTCCGCGATGCGGCCTGCGAGTCCGCGCCAAGTGCGGACGCATGCTGCGGAGCGGCGGAGCGAGGTGCCGGATGCACCGGCCTCGCCGGGCTGGCATGAGTACGAGGCCGAGGCCGAGCCGCGACGGCTGTTCGGTGACATTGTGTCCGAGCACGAGCGGCACGGAACGATGGCAGCGGGGTCTGGACGAGCTAGGCACGAAGCTGAGGCCGTGACACTGCGGATCGCAGTGGAGGAAGCGCTGCATCTGCCCAAGGTGCCTGCAGTGCACTCGCAAACTGTAGATGCGGTGGCACCGCACGCATGCGTTGTTGTCTCGCTTGGCGAGCATGTTGGCGGTACCTCGGAGCCTGCAACTGTGGCCTCGGTCTCTCCACGGCTCGAGTTCCGCACAACAGTGACGGTGCCGACGGCTGCGGTCCTTGCCGACGAGGCGGTCAAGATCGAGGTGTGGCACGTGAGCTCGCCCGGCAGCGAGGTGCTACTCGGTGTGGCGCTTGTGGATGTTGCGCCTCTGCTCAGTGGACTTGCGCAGGTCCACGGGTGGTACCATGTGGTCGACGCGCACTCGCGACTCCGCGGGCAGGTCCTCGTTCGAGTTGTGCCGGAGCGGGCGATTCGGCGACGGGCTCCGGTGGCCCGCGCCCCGGTCGAGTCCGAGCTGGCAACCGCAGCCAACGGCGACGAGGTGGTGCTGCAGCAGATGGATGCCGAAAACCGAGCCCGGTGCAGCCGATGGAGAACTCGCCTCCGGCAGCGTCATCATCGGCAGCTCTCTTCATCCCGGAGCACATCCAGCGGCAGCTGGATGCCAGTTCGTCGAGCCTGGCGGGCATGTCGGACATGTCACTCCACTCTGTCCTCCAGAAGCAGCTTGCCGAGCTCGATGTACTTGCGTCGCAGCCGCTGTCGTCGCGCGAGAACTACGTGACTGATTCTTTGTCGATCGCGCCAGCGCCGGCGCCGGCTGCAGTGCATCCTGCATCTGTGGTGGGCACGGCATCGACGCCGCTCCCCACCCACAACCCGCGGACGCCGCACGCCGGCTCGCCGTACTCGAGCGGGCGGCCTGTTACGCTCCGGCAGGATGCGGAGCGGCTTGCCGAGATCATGAGCTCAACGCCGTCGTGGCCGGGCAAGGGTGAGCAGATCCCGGACTCTTCGATGGACGATGGCGAGCTGACATTGTCTGGCAGCGTGTCTGGGTAAAAGTGAAGGCCTCCCCCCCCCCCTCCCCCTCCCAAAACTCGACTCCGCAGCGATCGATCACGATCACGATCACGATCCCCCCCCCCCCCCCTCCCTCCCACCCACTCCTCCTCCACACCTCACTATGAGCACTGACGAGAGCGAACAGGTGGCACGGCACCCGGTGGTGCGGTTCCTGGCGCCGTACTACGCAGCCAACGTAGCGCTGCTTGCGGTGTATCCGCTCTGGCTCCGGTCTGCCGTCATTCCGGGCGACTCTGAGCTGTTCAGCGGCAACTCGATGCTCCGGCTGTCGGGCGAGGTCCAGCTGGCTGGTTGCCTCGCGGTCCTCCTGGCGCTCAAGGCCAAGGCTGCCACTTCTATCGATGGCTGGCTCTTCAACGTCTTTCTCTTTGGCAAGATCGCCGTCGCCTTCTGCCTCCTGGTCGACTCGTGGCTGGCTCCGGCTGCCTACGCCGCTGCCGCCCTCCTCGCCGCCATCACCTTTCCGCAGCCGGCCTACTCGGGGCCGACCCAGGTCCGCCTGCTCAAGGGCGCCACACTCTCGTCGGCCGTCCTCGCCGCTCCGCCTGAGGACGGCTTCTGGATCGTGCTCTTTACTGTCTACTGGGCCCCGCCGTGTTCGGCCTTTATCCCTGTCTTTGCCGCCCTCTCCAACGCCCTCGCCTCGCCCTCGCTCCACTTTGGCCTCGTCAACCTGACCAACGCCCCGGTCATCGCCCGCAAGTTTGCCATCGACACTTCGACGAGTTCGAGCCAGCTGCCCACCCTTATTCTCTTCCACGGCGGCCAGGAGCTGGCTCGCCTTCCGGCCTGGGCTGGCCCGCCGCCTGCTGAGCCCTCGGCCCGCCGCGCCGTCGCAAAGGGCGCTCGTTTTGATGAAGCCTCCGTCGCCCGATACTTTGACCTGCCGGCTCGCTCCGACGGCATTGCCTGGGGCGAGCCACGCGAGAACCCGTCGCCAGACACTGTTGAGTTTGCTGATGGCGCTGCGTCCGCAAGCAAGAACGCCAAGGCTAAGGGCAAGGGCAAGGGCAAGGGCAAGGGCAAGGGTAAGGCCAACAAGGTGAAGCAGTCGTAAGACGCTGCGTGTTGTTGGCGTACGTACGTTTGCTTAGGCGAGTGCTGCAGACTCCATGTTGGCGGTCACCATCTTGTAGGCCTGGAGAGCCTCAGGCTGAACGTTTTCGCCGACGATAGCGCGGAGCGTGGGGAAGCGCTTGTTGAACGGAGCGGCGATCATCTGGTCGAGCACCTCCTTGGGCACCGGAAGAGCGGCTTCTTTGAGGAGTGCGTGGTAGGCCGAGGGCTGGATCTGGAGGCCGACGCGAACCTTGAGGAGGATGTACTGGACACCCTCCTGCCGAAAGTCCTCCTGAGCGATTGAGCCGAGGACGCGCCGAAGATCGTCGCGAGTAAACTTGCCACCCGAGGCGTGGAGAACGCGCTTGAGCTTGATGAGTACGGCGTGCTCCTCGGCGCTGACGTGACCGGCCGAGCCTGCACGGGTGACGACGTCAGCAACCAGGGCAGCAAACCAGGCGTAGCCGTCCGAGGCCTCTACTGCGACAGCGCGCTCGAGTGCGGCTGCCTCCGCTACGTCGCGGACGAGGTCCATGTCCTGGTCCGAGTGGAATGCGCCGCTGGCCATGCGGAGAACTTCGCTGAGTGCATCGTACTTGCGGGCGAGCTTGCCGGAGCGCTCGACGTCTTTGTCCTCGAGTGCAGCATGCAGGCCGTTGATCAGCCGCCGCCGCGAGGCCTGCAGGTTGGTGAGGAGGTCAGCGAAACGAGTCGAGGCATCGAGGTGGGGATCGCGATCAGCAAGCGCCCGAAGGAGCGCGTGCATCTTGACGCCATACTTGCGGGTAAGCTTAAGCCTCCGCGACTCGACCGAGCGCTGGAACTCAGCAAAGGCGCGGGCCTTAAGCGCGTTCTCGGACGCCTGACGGGCTGAGCCGGGCATCCGACGCTCGGGAATGGTCCACGTCGACGACGCCCGCTCATGGCGGCTCGCGGCAGCGGCACGGACGAGCTGGTGCTTGACGCCGTGGTACTCGTCACGGGCGGCCTTGGACGAAATAAAGTCAAACGAGCCCGACGAGTCTGAGCCTGAGCTTTCCGAGTCCCAGCCGCCCGAGCCCGAACTGTCCTTGCCTGCTACACCTTGCAGCCGCCCACGCGCAGTGCTGGCGTGAGCCGAGGTTGCCGGCCTGCGGTCGCCGGCCTGCCTGCGCTTTTTGCGGTGTTTGCGCCGCCGCTTGCGGACGTCAGCCGTGAAGCCGAGCTCGGCGGCGCTTCCGGCGATCTCAAACGTCGACTGGAGGCCGAGAACGCCCTGCGATTTGGGTGGCGGGGCGCGGAACGACCGCGAAGTGAGCGATTTGCGGACTCGCTGCAGCATGCGACGGCGGGTGAGGAGCTTGTCAATGGGCAGGCGCGGGACGCCCGCAGGTCGGCGTGCACGCCGACGCGGGGCTGCACCGCTACTGCGGCCTGCTGCCTGCTCCACCGCGTTGTCGGCGGCTGACGACTCGCTGAGCGACGACGACGACGACGACGATGACACGTGGTCGGCGTCCGCGCCTGGCCCAGCAGCTTTGGCGGCGGCGACCTGGAACTCGTACATGAGGTGCTGTGCGAGGGCGAGCTCGTACTTGGTCTTGCGGTCGAGGTACGAGGCCTTGGCCACAAACGGTGGTTTCCGGAGCGCGATCGACGAGCGCGACGCGTTGAGGCCAGCGGCCGATGTCGAGCCGAGGTGGCCGCTTGGCGAGTCGGGCTCGTTGTCCGAGTCATCTTCCTTGATGTTGATGAGAGCACGGCGCTTCCACTTGGAGCCGGCACGGGCACCGGCATTAATGCGAGCATCAAGCGGCTCTGGACGGGTGACTGGGCTGTCACTGGAGTTTCCGATGGTGAGGAGCGAGAGGACGTCCATGGAGAGAGTGGCAACGCCGCCGCCGCGGGCTGATCGATCATCGCCGACGCGCGAGCTCGACCGTGAGCGGCGCATGGCCGACCGCGACCGCGATCGCGAGAGCCGCGACCGTGACCGCGCCCGTGACGACGATCGCGATGGGCCAGCCGAGTCGTCGGACCAGCGCTCGGAGTTGTGGCGGCGGATCGTTCGCCGCTTGCCAATGATGTAGTGCGGCCGGCCGCGTGGATCTGGCACGTGCGAGGTGTCAGGTCGGCCGGCAGCTCGGGCCTGCGATGCTGCCGAGTCGACCATGTTGCCAAAGGTCTTCATGGCGCCCTCGACAGTGGCGGCAGCACGCGAGTGCAGGAGCTTGACCTTGGCCGGGATTCGCGACGAGAGCTCCGACTGCGAGAGCGAGGCCACGTGCGCAGCGCGTTTGCGGTGGGTCATCATCGGCCGCGAAACAAGGTCCAGCTGCATGCGAAACGGTAGCGCGTGCGCGGTGGGGTTGCTTACCTCGGCACGCCCGAGACCAGGCAGCGAACTGATTCCGGTCTCGAGCGTGATGAGCTCACGCGGCGACGGCAGCGTCTCGTCGATGGCAAGGCCGCGGGCGACGACGCCGAGCGCATCCTCAGGCCAGCGTGCAACAACTGCATAGTGCATGCCCTTGGATAGCTTGACAGCGAGCGGCTCGGACGGTACAGGACCGACGGCTCCGGGAGAAAGCGCGGCTGCAGAGAGCGTCTCAGCCACCAAAGTGTAGCGACCTGCGAGCTCGCGTCCCTCATAGACGTAGTAGACAATACGGCCCGGCGGTGGCGGCGGGACCAGAGACAGCGGTGAGACTGGCGAGCCCGGGCCCGACTCAGCGTCGCGGACCGAGGCCGCCAGGCTGGCGGTGGAGGGGGCCGAGGGGAGGACCTGGGTGAGAAAGACAGAGGCCCGCGGCGCTCGGCCGGCAGCAGGCATGGGCTCGGTTGGCGGCGCCGGCGGCGGGGCTGAGGCGTGCGACAGCGCCGACGGCGGAATGGCGATGACCAGCGCAACATTGGTCAGCGTCGCCGACTGATCTGCGCGAAAGACGTTGCCGGCAACTGTGAGATCGACAGCGTACACTGGCTCGGACGAGACGCCGAGCGCAACGGTGACCTCGGCGTCGGGCGGAGCAATCCACTCGACCGATGGCACAACGTTGAGGACATGCTGGCCAGAGCGGACGGCGATGACTCGGGCGGTCGACTCGGCGACCTTGGCGTGCAAAGCCTTGGAGCCGTTGGCAAACATGTCGTGGGTGTCCGGCAGCTCTCGGAGCTTGCGGCGGTGACGGTGCGAAGCGGGCGGCCGCGGGCGGCCGTCAGCCGGCGGCGGGCCGGGCGGCGGTGCCGGAAGCCGCGCGTCAGCGGGGACACCAGCTCCAGCCGAGAGCACGCCCGAGTTGGATCTTGCTGCTGCAGCGGCGTGGGCAATCTTGCGGCGCGAGGCCTCGGCGGCGCGGTTGGCCGACTCTGAGAGCGCGGCTGTGGCCCAGGCGAAGATGGCCTCGATGTTGGCCTTGCGGCGCGAGTCGCGGAAGATGACCCGATCAGCAGGTAGCGGCTCACCCAGTGGCTCGTATGCTCGCTTCTTGCCCTTGCGCGAGAAGGTGTTCCAGCCCTGGCGGGCCTGGGCTTTGCGCCGCAGCAGCACCTCACCGGCCGTCTCCACCTTGGACACCACGCCCTTGCGCGAGCGGGCAAAGACTTCCGACGCCGCATTGGGTCTTTGCGCCGCCTCTGCCGCCGCCGCCGCCACAGCCACCACCACTGCCGCCGACGACGAGTTCGCCCCGGCCGCTGTCGACGGAGGCCCTGCTGCAGGCGGTGGGACCAGCGCAGGCGTGGTCCCCTCGTACCCTGCGGGCTCGGGCGGGAGGGGGGTCGTGCGCATAATGGGAGGGGGAGGG